CGGAGATGCAATTACATTGTTTTCTTTAGAAACTATCAGCCTTTATTCAAGTGTTAGTCAGTGACTCACAGAATCTGTTTGCAGAGTGATGAAGGTGTGCACTTGTTTGATACGTTACCAAACTGCGAAATACTCGCTAATCGTGATTTCTACAAACTAAGGAATTAGAAAACTTCGTCTGATTGAAAGTCGAGTGCCACTTTTAAAACCACATGTCCTATAAATTCAGTTAGCGTTTTGTTCAACAGAGACAACGATTCACAAAAAACGTCTCTCTCAGCGCACAAAATCCCTTATAAAAACTATGACCCACCTATATGAAACACTTTTGGTTGATGTTGTAGCACCTTAGGCTATGGGTTTTTTTGCACCCACAACCGTTTGATTGACAGTGACTGACTCTCGAGATTCTCGGCAATTTCCAAAGCGAACTTCGTCGACCAATCACAGTGGACTATTTTTTAAACTAGAAACAAAGTACATGCGTAAGCGTGAAGCTTGTATGCTGGCACGGCGCGACAGTTCCTTGACAAAACTGTTCTCGGATCTACCTTGATTTCTGTCGGGTTTTATAGTTTTTATTTTCCTTTACTCCATAGGTGACTCTATTGAACTTCATGATTACGCCTCTTGGTCTGGAGGATCAATTACTGGGAATAGTGGCAGCGAAGGAAAAACCCGAGTTGGAAGAGAAAAAGAATGAGTTGATCATAGAGAGCGCTAAGAACAAGAAGCAATTGAAGGAGATTGAGGATAAGATTTTAGAGGTGCTGTCTACCAGTGAAGGAAACATTTTGGAGGACGAAACGGCGATCGAGGTGCATATTCCTGTTGTGGTTTTCTAATGCTACAAGTTAACACCGCTGTGCTCAATTGGTTAAAATCTAGCCATCGAAGGAACGGTGAATCTTCGTGCAAATAATGCTGACGTAATGTGATGATTTTGATAGGCTGTTGATGGGTTACCATTGAATCACGCTGAAATATCCACCAATTACCGAACTCTCGCCATCAAAGTGAGATGTTCCAGTTCAGTATTCAACGTTTTCCGTATGTTGTTATTTTAACTCATTGCACAAGTTGAGGAAAATGTGCATCAGAGTTTCTCGGCATGGTCTATAGTATTTAATTAATTGTGATGGTCATGAAGCTCGACTTGTATCTTTGTGGAGAATTTTTTTAACTTCAAGTTTGGACCTGACAGTTCACATTCTTCAATATGTACCCTTGTTTCGCCATGAATGACTGAAAAAAAGAAAAAATATATCGCGCGCTTTCGGGGAGCTGCCACCCTAAACGGTAGCACCTTTGTTTCTCTTTTAACAACAACAACAACAATTTAACAACAACAACAACAACAATTTTGTTTAACATTAATAATCCATAAATATAGTCATTCACAGTTAAAAATGGATATTTAGAAATAAGAAAATTTGTCAGGGTATGAAAAAAGAAAAAGCTGTGGATAGATTGCCGAAACCGGAGGCTCGCACGACACAGGTCAGCAAGGCTAACTTTGATTGTTTCCAACTGGCATAACCCCTCTTCCATTCTCACTCTTAATTAGGTGTTATCATCCAGCAAAAAGCTGTCAGAGGAAATCTCAGTCAAACAAGAAATCGCCTCTAAAACTGAAGAAGAAATTGATAGAACTCGTGGAGGTTACAAACCAGTAAGTACGAAGCCTAACATCGTATCTCGCAGTGCATTTCTTTTGTTGCAGAGCAATTTTCAATTGAGTGTTGAAATTAACCAGGGATTGTTTTGGTTATACTTAACTTTGTTTTGACCGTGATTGGTCTAGAAAACCTGCGTAATCCTTTCAGAATGCAAATCAGATGCAGCACTAAAAACAATCGTGATTCGGTCACTCACGTTTTCCCGCGCTTCAAGCTGTGTACTCGTTTTCCCGCGCTTCAAGCTGTGTACTCGTTTTCCCTTTGAGTTCTCATTGGCTAATGATAATGTAAACGTTTGTTTTGATTACTTTGGTTTTGGTTTTTCGATCCTCAGTTGAAAACTGCTCCAATGCACAGAATGACCTTAGTCATTCGGAGACTCAAGTTGGTAGCTCATCGTTATTTGTATCGTTCAGTTTTTTCCCGCGATAATCCAGTTTTTCAAGCAATTGCTGACTACCTTTTCGCATTGGCATTTATTAGCAGACATTGCTGATTTAAGCACGGACGCTTAGAAACCATTCCAGTTTTAGAGACAGTTTTAAAAGTCAAATGCAAGAATCATGCCTTACCGTGACTTATCACATTGCTCTGTTGGTCTGATATCGCTTAAATATTACTTTTTATCAGGTGGCTAAACACTCCAGTATCTTGTTCTTTACTATATCTGACCTGGCCAACATTGAGCCTATGTACCAATACTCATTAACATGGTTTATTAATCTTTACCTGCAGGTAAGTACTCTGTTTGTTTCTGTTTTTAAACCCAGATTCGGTTCGAACTCTTATACTTTACGTAAGGACTGTGATGGATCAGAAACATCTGTTATTTTATGACGTCCTTCGAGGGCTAAACGGTTTCATGTTGAACGTTGATTGACAAGTTCTGTCTTTTGCAGTCGATCCTAAATAGTGAACCGTCCTCAGACCTTAGCAGAAGGATTTTGAACCTCAATGATCATTTTACTTACAGGTAAGTTTCCAGAATTGCACGGACGACGGCCTATTTAAAGAAGAATATTGGAGAAACCGTAAAATTTTTTTACACACCATCAACAACTAATGGTCAAAAGTTTTTTTAACCGTCATGTGAGATTTTAAAGTGTTACAGAACTTTCAATATTTTCGTTACATGAGCTGATATTTAAATTTCGGACTCTGCCATTTTGAAAAACAACTCAGTAATCTGGTAGCACACGCATGACGTCACAGAGTTCAACTGGCTGCCGTACGGTCATCGTAAAAAACGCATAATTTAAGTTTTAATGGTTTTTTACGGCTCCCAATTTTAAAACACTTGACAAGAGATGAGCAAATGGGTAGCGACACTCTTTTACTTCACAGCTACGTGGCCAGGTAGCTGAGCTAGATTCAAAATGGCGACTCACGTCACCAGTTGCTGCCTCTTCTGAAGGTTAATTTCACTATCGAAGGAGGGTCTTTTGAAGCTGAAAACTCGCTCAGTGTTAAAACTGTAACAAATATATAATTTCAATGGCGGAGATGCAATTACATTGTTTCTAGAGAATATTTCTGCATTTCATGAGCAAAGTGTTATTCAGGCTGACAATATCAAAGGTTATCGTTCTAAGATATCAGAGCGATTTTCAATGGATTGTCAAAAGTAATCTGGGATTGCTTTCGTTTTGTCCTTTTTTCGCTATGTGATTGGTCCAGAAAACTCGCGCTACTTAGTCAACAAATGAGATTCGAAACTAAAATCAATTGCGACCGTGCTTCGGGTAGTTTGCTTGCTTTTGCTTCGAGTTCTCATACCCCCCTTGTGATATTTTCCTTGCTCTGATTGTCTGTTGTGATTGCTTTGGGTTTGGTTTTGGAAACTCAATTGAAGAGCGCTTAATTGCAATTTTTTTTTCTCAGTTCATACCGCTAACTATTTTATGTTGCTTGCGTTTTTTCACAGTATCTACAGAAACGTGTGCCGATCATTGTTTGAGAAGGACAAGCTGTTGTTCTCGTTTTTGTTGTGCATTGGTATTCTGAAAGGAAGGTATGACTTTTTTTTTCTACGAGTTTTTTGGACGAGTGGGTTACAAATCGTTTAATAATTATGTTCGTTATTATTTTAGATCTTACACAACATATTTGTAAAAGGTTTAGAACATTTCACTCTTTCACTAGTTCAAAAAGGTGAAAAATGGAGTGAAATATCACGAAAAAACTTCAAAAGTCTTCAAAAGCATCGGTGATTAGCGATAAGCGACATTATTTATAACTTAGCCAAAGCTGGAGGATTGTTTTTGTTTTATCACGATAAAGGTTAGATACACCAAATGGGACAAAAGTTGCTAGTTCGTGACTGTCCCTTTGCTATTTGGATCATTGTATGGACGTTTTTGTGTAAAGGTGGTGAATTTATTTCTCTGTCGTATTTTTCAGCGGTAAAATTGATGAGCAGGAATGGCGATTTTTATTGACGGGTGGAGTGGCCCTGGAAAACAAATTCCCGAACCCCGCCTCGGACTGGTTAACCGACAAGTCCTGGGCAGAAATGGTTCGATGTTCAGCGCTACCTTCATTCCAAGGAATTTTGAAACACTTCACAGCAAGAGTAAGTTTCCAAAGCTGTACTTGATTGTTTTATATGTTACTAGCATTATAACCACAAAGAACTTTGTGATCACCCATTTTTGTTGTTCTCAGGACACACGTGATTGGGTCTTTTGAGAAGGTTTTCTTTTTTAAGGAGGAGGAAGAGAAATATGCTAGCGTAAAGAAAATAATTGTGAATTTGGAACCCAGACCAGTTGATCCAATTAGCGAAAATCTTTGGAGTATCTGAACTGACAAAACTGTTTATTAATGTTTTAAGAGCTGCCGAGAAAATTTGGAAAAAAATCAAATTTTGTTCAAACAAAGAGAAGTAAACAACGCGTCTCCATTTTCTTCGTCAGTACCAGCGTTGCTTCACGTTCATGGCGATAGGAAATTTTAAAGTAACCAACTTTGTTAATTTGATCCCTCAGATTTCGGAATGGAAAGTATTTTATGACTCTGCCAGTCCACAAACTGAACCGCTCCCCGAGCCTTGGGAAGATGAACTCAACAAACTGCAGCATTTGATTATCTTGAGATGTTTGAGGCCGGACAAGGTGAGGTTTGCAAAATAGTTTATTTTCGTCTTTTTTGATGTTTTTGATAACTACCCAGACTGAGTGAAAGTGAAGGCGTTTTACTGAGTGAGGAACTTGTTAAAAAAGGATGAAAAAGATAACTGCTCACAAAGGAGCGCACTACCACTTTATTAACTCCATTGGGAGGGCCCTAGAAAGCACTGCGGGAGGTTGAGTCCCAGGTCTTGAAATGAGTGAGGAGAACGTGGTTCTCTGCCCATATCATCTGTAAGTGGTCAGACATTCTAGGCTTCTCTCATAAATCTGTGCTTGAGTCCACTAGCTCACATAGCTTGGAAAAGTGTATTTCAAGGGTCGCCACTGACCAGAATTTGCTTTTGGATACGTTTAACATTGCCCTGTATCTTTCATTCAATAAGACGTAGTATAATGCCAGCTGGGTGATTTTCTTGCCACTATTCTCAGTATCTGTGAACAGTATATTTACACCGTTCAGCCCTCCAGATCACACACAAGTTCTTTTTTTCACAGGTCACCTTAGGCGTGCGTGACTTCATAACTTTCTACATGAGTCCAGCCTATATAGAGCCGCCCACTTTTGACCTGTCCAAGTGTTATGAGGACTCAGACTGCTGTGTGCCCCTGATTTTTGTGTTGTCACCTGGAGCAGATCCCATGGCCAGCCTAGTAAAGTTTGCCGAGGATATAGGTATGATTCGTAGAAGAAACCATCAAGTGAATAAGCCACTATCCTGCTGGAAAACTGGTTGTCATCTACGACGGAGTCAGAGTCGTAATAAGACGCATAGAGCAATACGATGAAGTGAAAAAATTAAACTGGTAAAATCAAAGGCAGAATACAGATGTCGCTTATGAATGCGTTGCTTATGATCCAGTAGAACTGGACTTTTGGAGTCGTGTCGTAAGCACTGGAAGGGCCTGAGAACTGGCATTGTGATTCTGACCTTATTCCGTCTAACGTAGGATTCCTCTTTCGACGTCGATTTTTGATTTTCACAAGGTTATAAGCGTTCTTACGACTCCGAGTGAGCGTCTCCAGCCTATAAAGATCTACAGCTAAAATTAAGGGATTTTGACTTCCGGGGGCAGAATTGTTATCCTTTGGAGGAGCATTTGAGCTGTTATGGCTGGTTTCTTTCAGTATTCATACGGATATTCATTCGGAAAAAACTCTGAAACGTTTTCCTGAAATGATTTTAAAACCTGCTTAACCTCCTGTCTTGTAACCTGTTGAGGCTCGGAAGTGACTCGTTTTAGACCGCAGGTCTTTCAATACTTTGTTTTCTATCAAGTACATTATCTATTTCCCCCAGTACTGTTTTGTATTTTTTATTAGGTGTGACCAGGTCTCATTTTCAGACGATTTCACTTGGTCAGGGACAAGGACCCATTGCTTCAAAGATGATCAATGAAGTAAGACGACTGTTTTAAAATACTTAGAACCTAAAAAACGAGGTAGCGAGTTGACATGTGTTCTTGATAGATCATGACCCTTCACTCTGAACCAATCGCCAATAATATTTGCACACACTTGCGCAAAGCTACATTTATACAAGCAAGTTTTCCGTTTGGTAGAGTTGACGAAATTTGCCAGGTCTTTCTGTGGCCGATTCTGTTGTCTGGAAATTGACAGTTGGGTTGTTTAGGAAAAACCTGCTTTGTCGATGATTTGACTTGAAGGGCAACTGTCGAGCAAATTATCAAAGGCGTAATGGAGACGCAATGATCCCGTGGCTTGTGCGCTGGATCGATAGTGTGGGTTCAACTCCGGGCCGGGTATCCGTGCTGTGTTCGTTAGCAAGACATTTTAAATCTCACACATGTAACTTCAACAATTTTTTTTTGTAGGCTATCGCTGTAGGGGACTGGGTTGTATTACAGAATTGCCATCTTGCAACATCGTGGATGCCCATTTTGGAGAAAATATGTGAGGAGGTGAGTAAGTTTCAACACTTACTTAATGTCAATGCGATAATTCCAAAAATGTCATAAACGGCTGGTTGTCATCCGTGGACTGTCTTGCCACAGCCACGAAATCTGAGCGCTGACCATCTTGAACATGATGTTAATCACAGTTTCTTGTTGCATTAACTGGCTAATGCGAACTTTTTGTAATACGTCGCATTGATTTCGCCTAGTTTATGAGTTTTCCGACTTCGCACTAACCGTCTTTTTGACAGAGTATTCAAAATTGTATGAAAAAAATTTAGTGCTGATCACCCCTCGCGGCTTTAGAGTCAAGTCAACGGCCTGTGAATTAGGGAATTCGTTGAGCAGCGGTAGAGCGTCATGAATAATGTGTACGGCGTATACGGGGCTAAATATGTCACCTTTACGAGATGTCGATAAGAAAATCAGTGGAACTAGTTAAAGCTCCCCCATGCATTGATTGATAAACACATCTAAATTTGGTTTAGGTTATTGTCCCAGAAAAGACGCACAAGAATTTTAGACTTTGGCTCACAAGTTACCCCACGGAAAGATTCCCCGTGTCCATTTTACAAAATGGTAAGAGGTAGTTTCCTTTTTTCTCAGTGACTTCTGTTTGTTTACTTATATAACGGATTTGAAATATTTAGTTGGGTTTTATCCTGGCCTTTATTTTCCTGAAGTCTAGTCGAATGTACGAAAATTCACCATTTCGAAAGGAAGAATGAACTTCTCCAGCTTTGGATTTAGTCAGGAGCTATGATCTGGTGTGAAGACTAGTGCGAGTAAAGGCCATGTTAAAACGCTTGTCAACCCATCATTTCGAGCTAATTTTAGCAGAGATTGCGCCAAACGTACGACTAAAGCCAACCACATGTTTCACACACATGGACAAACACAGCCTTTAGAATAAGAGTCTTGTTGAAGAAAATATCAAAACAGACATAAATATGTGAAGGTGTAGTCTGATCGTCTGGGTGAGTGTAGTCCTGAGAAGGACTGTTGTCGGTGGTAGTGACTGACGTTTCGACAACCTGTGCGGAAGTCATCATCAGAGTCAAGTGAATGATTGTTGTCAGTAGAATGTTCTTATTCCAGTTCGTGTGAAATGATCGGTTGGTTTTGCCGTGATGTTATTGGCTGTAAGACTCAAGTGACGTGAGTCGGTCGTGATTGGTCTTGTTTCGATCTGTCGGTAAAGTTAGGTCGTTCTTTTTCGGTCGTTTGTGATGTTTATGTCGTGAATGAGTCGTTTGTATGGAGCGGGTAGTTGTTGACATCTGTTTAGGGGAGTCTGTTCTAAGTTAGTAAACCAGCTTTCCAGAGTCAGTCGTTGAAAATAGTCAGTGCTGTAGGTTAGGCATTGCGCAGAGTCCTAGTCAATGTTGTGGTTGGTAAGTCGATGGTGTTAACAACTACGGGTAGTCAACAACTACCCGCTCCATACAAACGACTCATTCACGACATAAACATCACAAACGACCGAAAAAGAACGACCTAACTTTACCGACAGATCGAAACAGACCAATCACGACCGACTTACGTCACTTGAGTCTTACAGCCAATAACATCACGGCAAAACCAACCGATCATTTCACACGAACTGGAATAAGAACATTCTACTGACAACAATCATTCACTTGACTCTGATGATGACTTCCGCACAGGTTGTCGAAACGTCAGTCACTACCACCGACAACAGTCCTTCTCAGGACTACACTCACCCGGACGATCAGACTACACCTTCACATGTTACCCCCGGGTTCAAACCATTTACTGCAAGGCATAAATATTCAAGTGAATTCGTACAAAAGAGACGGTGAAAGAGTTTAACTATCCATGATTTGAAAGTTTTTAGCTAGTTATTTTCCCAAGATTACTATGATTAACGTTCCACTCTTCATCTAGGGGAAAGCAGTACAAAATATTTCAAAAATTATTTCGATCTGTTTGTCATAAAGAAGGTTGACATTTGAAAATCCTGTGAACTTGCGATTTCATCCAAATCCAAAAGCAGGTCCTTGTTTAATGCGCTTATTTATTTATATGTTTATTTATTTATATATTTATGGAGGATGGCGCAGTTTACTGCCTTAGATCACCTAAACTTTTTTTCGATGGTTAGCACGCACAAGAATAAAGCTTACCTCGTCACCGTCTCCATCCTCGATTGTGGCTCATGATTTACTCCATTCTTGCTAAACACATTGACTGAGGATTTTTCTCTTACTTCTCCGCCCTTCTGGCTTTCATACTGAAGGGAATTCAATACTCATGACTGTCTCGTTGTCTTCAAACCTATTCACAGGAGTGAAAATGACCAATGAGCCGCCGATGGGGCTCCGGGCCAATTTATTGCGGTCGTACCATAGCGATCCCATATCAGACCCTGCCTTTTTCAATGGCTGCAACAAACCAAAGGTAACATGAAGTGGAATGATGAACTAAAATTATTGATTGACTGTCTTTGGTATTGTTCCTTATTGGTGGATCTAATGAATTGCTCATGTTGGCCGAGTGCTCCGGGAGCTCAACTTGAAAGTATAAGTGCCTTAAGTTATAAAAGAGATGTTTGTTTTTCATCGTGGTTCCGTAACGAATGAACGTTGTAGGGAATATCTTAGGATAGAGAGTTAATAGCAATTCTTGTTTCTAACGTTTCTATTGCTTTCCTGTAAGTTTTCGTAAAGCCTGAGTCTAACGCTCAAGGAACACTGAACCATTTAACTACATACGGGCGCGAAAGAATTCACCCTCCCAGCTTAATGAGAATGTGCAACACAGCGGTCGAAACGCCGCGATCAGCCGTTGATAGTGACTCCTTATTGGGAGACAAATAATGGTACGTTAAAGAGCCGAAGCCTCTCAGAGCGCTTTCAATTGAGTGTCGTAAAACCAGAACCAAGGTAAACACAACAGCCAATCAGAGGAGAGAAAATTACCTTAAAGAGCCAGTGAGAACTCAAAGGAAACCCACCAAATTGTCTAAAGCGCGGGAAAACGGGGGCAACCAAGTCGTGATTGGTTTAGTTTTTGCTTCTAATTCGTCGAGAGGGTGGTGCAAATTTTGCGGACCAATCACAGAGCGAAGTAAAGCGAAAGTAATGCACTCTGAGATTACTTTCGACACTCAGGCTGGAACAAAAACAAGTTGCACATTTCGAAATGTTTTATGTTGACGCGATCTTTCAGGTCTGGAAGAAACTACTTTTCAGTTTATGTTTTTTTCACGCGCTGGTTCAAGAGAGACGCGAGTTCGGTCCTCTGGGTTGGAACATTCCGTACGAGTTTAACGAGTCCGACCTTAGAATTAGCGTTCGTCAACAACAGGTAAGGATTTATCTTGAAGACATCTGAGTAAACTTGTCGATCTCTAAGGGACAGTCGTTGACTCCTGTAAATAAACTATTTGATTGACTTGGAATTAGTGAAATTTCAGCTTTTTTGTGAGTTCAACTTCTTCAAAGAGTTGTTGTGTTTTGAAATGGAGCACTGAGTACTCGATAATCCATCTAAGTTACCTTACAAACATCATTCTCGTATGGTCAATGGACAGCATATCTTGAAGCTGTTACTGCCATCGCTGTGGAATATGCCTCCTACGGAGCTTTGTGATCATTCCTGGCCGAAAAACAATCAATTTGGTGTTGTTACTAAAATTCTTACGCTTCTCAAAATGATTCGAGGCTTCAACCAGTTTCTTCACATACTCCACTCTTAAGAGTGTACAGGTCTCAGCAACCATGTATGATCCTAGCTATCCCACATTTCGTTGTTGTTCCAAAATATAAACGCATCGTTGAATTGTCCCCATTTTTCATCGCTCCAATCAAGAATGAGGAGAGAAAAAGTAACTGGATATCGCAACAGAAGACTTCTATGCGCGACTTTAACTCTAAGATTAAAAGTGTGTTATGGTTGGTTTTACAGATGTTTTTGAATGACTATGAGGACGTTCCTCTGGACGCTCTGACCTATCTCACAGGACAGTGTAATTATGGAGGACGTGTAACGGATGAGAGAGACAGGTATGATAGAACTCAGTGGCTCTGTGCTGATCCTTCGCCGTAATCTATATCTTTAGCCAGACCTCGAAGCGGAGCTCTGAAATGTTTTTTCTTTTTTAAGGACGAACGCCTGTTCAAAGAAACTAAACTTCTTTGAAACAGGCCCATAAACGCTTTTCGCGTGCAGAGAGTAGAATTTTGTCCATATGAGGAGGATATGTAATTAAACACTAAAACAGAAACTACGGGAACTCTAGAATAGGCCTCCCCCCTACCTCCTCCTCTCTTTTTAACCAAATTACCTTCTTAATTCCACAGACGTCTTATCTTGAGTCTCTTGTCAATTTTCTACTGCCGGGAGGTCACAGAAGATGAAAACTACAAGTTTTCTAGTAGCGGTTCATACTTCGCACCCCCTGAGGTCAGTATCAATTCCTTATTATATGGCTGTGTCTCGCAAGGACTGGGAACTACCGAATTCACGAATTTAATTGGGTGGAATCAATATTGAAAGCGGTCTAGATTTTCCCATCTAGACCGGCATCTAGACCGCGCTAGAAAAAAAAGGTACAAAGAATATAAAAAATTGGTATATAAGACACAGCCATATAATAAACATCTTTTTAACCGAGCTAGGTCGGTCTGTATGGGAGAATCTTGACCTAGGTCGCTGGTACAGACCCCACTGCGTTCGGTCTGTACTAGCGACCTCGGTCAAGATTCTCCCATACAGACCTCCCACTCGTTTAATAAGAACTAAATACGGGACAACGTCATCATTTTTTGTATAATACACCGTTGTTAAAAACTATACCAGAACTAAACCAGACAGCAGAAGTTAGCCTGTGAAGTACATTTTGCTGATGAGGTATTCAAATGAACATATACTGAATGTACACATGTACACACCATTACACGGATCATCCGGTTGAAAATTTCATCGACAAAAATATGATGACTGAACTTAGCTTTACAGAGGAATGAGAAGGTTTATGATTGAGCAAAACCTCCCTAAACTCTAATTAGAATAGGTGGCCCTTAATTTTCTAAACGTACCAAATGGAACAGTGCCAACGATTTGATTTCCCATCCAGAATTACCGTCTTTTTGTGTAAATGGTGCTTACCCCAGATTTGTCTTCATTCTACACTCGTGCTCAATGTTGAATTAAACAGCTTTGGAGTGAGAGTTCCGGGTTCGGGCCCTCGATTGGTCATTGTTTTGTGTTTTTGCGACAGACACTTTCACTACTCCTCCACTTATGATGATTAGTAGATACTGGCGAATTGTTCGGGAGGCCCTAAGGAATGTGGGGGGAGGGGGATGGGAATATTCTGCAATAGATTCGGATCCCATATAGGGGCATTAACAGCACTCTGAATTGTTGTATGCTATAGTCAGGGATTAGCTCCGGCGTCTGGTGGGCCACTTGGCTCGAGAGAACACTTTACCTTTACTGATTGGTTGTGAGAGCGGAATAGAGCAAAACCAAAGTAGTGCTGGATTGAAAACTGTTCTAAACTGAGGCTGTTTTTATCTTGTCACTCTACAATCACAGGGTCCTTATGATAGCTACCTAGATTACATCCGCAGTCTGCCTCTCACTCCAGATCCTGAGGTAACAACTGTTGGTTTGTATGAGCCGCTCATAGATAGCTGTTGTTATGTAAGCCGGGCTAAATTATCTCGACAGCGCATTACAGGAAATGCACTGGGAACTGTTTTTACTAGCATTTGAGAATACGAAATACTGATAAGCATGAAGGCATGAAGATGGACAATATACTCATTTCGCTTTGTTGAAAAAGTCGTGGTACATCAAAACGCAAAAAAAAAAAAACAAAAAAAAAGCAAAAAAAAAACGGTCGACACTTATAATCAACCAGCTTGAGAAAACTCACTATTACGATAAAATAATTTTTATTAATTATGTAGCCAAAGTTTCTCGTAGATCAATTTGGCTTTTGCAAAAACAAAGCATCATTGATTCACGAGCTGGCGAGATAGCGCAAGACGATCTCACCTGCTAGGGCAGCTAATCAGATTACAAGATTTGCTTCATCTTTCCCGTTCGCGGAGTCTGTCATATGATAAATTTAAACATCGAGTACGCAATATGTTTGTTAGGTGTTTGGTCTACACGAGAATGCTGACATAACAAAGAACCAACGTGAAACTCAACAGCTTTTTGACGGAATTCTACTCACGCTACCCAGACAGGTAAGAAATGAAGGGATCCCGAATGTTCTCGTCTTCACGTCATTCCTTTGAAAACCTGCACTGTGATCCTTTCAAGTGTTTTTAATGTAATCCATCCACCACTTTATCAGAGAGGACTCGTGCTCATAAGGGATGATAAGCATCCCGTGTGAGCGAAACAAACCTGCACTGTGATCCTATCAAGTGTTTTTAATATAATCCATCCACCACTGCATTAGAGTGGACTCGTGCTCATAAGGGATCATCAGCATCCCGTGTGAGCGAAACAATTTCTTTCAAAAAGTGGTTAAACTATTTCCGCCGCGAGTGCTGCTGTTTCACGTCTAGCAATCAGGGCCGTAGCTAGCATGAGGCAAGACGAGGCAATTGCCTCGTCTTAATTTTGGCCTTTTTTAATCTTTTTCTTAAAGATTGACTTTTCTGACGAAAAATGCCACGGAAAATCCTTTAAGGAGCAATCCCAAACCTCTAGATTTCAAAGTCTTCTGGGGGGCTTGCCCCCAGACCCCTCTAGCGGCTCGCGCCTTCGGCGCTCGAAACTTGCCTCGTCTTGTCCTGAAATCTGGCTGCAGCCCGGCTAGCAATCGTTCCGTAAACTGCACAGTTGATCGATTTCAGCAGGAGAGTGATTGCTTGAGTCAAACAACGAAAACGGAAACAAAAAAGGTAACCACGCTTGTTAACAACAAAAAAGTAACTTATCGCTCTAGAAATTAGTGACTGTTAAAAAAATACGGCCACAATTTAGGTGCTCCTGGAAAATTTTGTGGGTGCGCGTTACAACTTTCAACTTTCGGTACAAGAATTTAACTTGTCACACTAGAAAGTGGGGACCGTTAAAAAAATATTGCCACATTTTTGGCGCCCCTGGGAAATTTTGTGGATGCACGTTGCAACTTTTAACTTTCGATACCAGATTTACCTTAGACCTAGAACGGATTATAAAATGGAAAAATAAAGTTTTTAAGTATTGATGAATACGATATCGACCCCTAACGTTATAGGGCATCTCCACTCCTAATGTTATAGGGCATCTTCACTCCTAATGTTATAGGACATCTCCACTCCTAATGTTATAGGACATCTCCACTCCTAATGTTATAGGGCATCTCCACTCCTAATGTTATAGGGCATCTCCACTCCTAATGTTATAGGGCATCTCCACTCCTAATGTTATAGGACATCTTCCGTAATCATTTCTGATCGCACTGTCAATATTTTATGTGCTATCAGACCTCCAGTGGAGGGAAGTCATCTCAAGAAGTGATTGAGGATTTAGCTTCCGACATCTTGTCTAAGATTCCGTCGCCTTTTGACACAGAAATGGTTCAGGTGAGTGATTCATTCACCATAGAACCAAAAAAACAAACAAAAAGAAGATACTATGTGATCTTCATAGTCAGTGAATTTGTTTTATAAGACCTCTCAGTTAGTCTGTGCGCTCTGATTGGTCCATCAGTTTAGCGGGCCGGTTTTCACTCTACGGCCCGCTAAATTTCAAAGTTTGTTTGAATTAAAATTTTCTTCCATTTGAACCCAGACAGGCATTAAATATCGTAGTAATCTCGTTTTCTTGGTCTGCATTATAATAAATGGAACCTCGTGGCCAACTTACGTAATCAACTTAGTCGATAATTAACAATTATTCTTTGAAATCGAGCGGTGGCTAGATATTTCCCGAGAGCCACTATTCCCCGAGATTGAAAAGAATAATTGTTTTAGTATATACACACGAAGTGATCTCGACAAAATTAAAAGGAAGCCATTCAAAGGCAATTTCTGCTTCTGAAACTTTAGCGAAACGTGAGTTTACGCCCTCCATTTACTTTTTCACATTATCCACTCGCTCGGAGGTGTACATTGTTGATTAGCCCGAGATAGCGAACCAATCAGATTGCTTGAACTGCCAAGATCACTGAGTGTGTATATTTTCTATACTAAAACCAAATTATCTTGCAATACCGCCCCCCCTCCCCTCCACCCCTGACGCAGTAGCACAGTTTCTTCAGAAATGTACCTCCTTTAATTTATCCATTGGAAAGCCTTATGATTCACACCTTCTTGTGCTTCAGAAAAAGTATCCAGTACTGTACGAAGAATCCATGAACACCGTACTGCTTCAAGAACTGATAAGGTAAAACCACTAAATCGTTCTATTTTGTTAAACAGTAACCGACAAATATGACTTTAAACTTAAACGCGACATAGATTTCCAAAGGTCGCACCTTCCTTTCACGGTATAATCAACATCAATCGTAGAGTAGGCATGTTGAGTTATTTCTTAGAGTGATAGATAGTATTTTTTAACAAATAACAGATAGCAAGGTGACTAGAGTTTGATTGGACAGTCAGGGTGGCATGTGCAACATTTGCGGTTGAATGCGCAGTGAGATGCGATATTTGTCACTCTGGCTCTACTGGAACACTCTATGCTGGTTTCATGTTATTGGCAGTAAAATTATTTCTCAACATCTCGCTTGTCATTTGGTTCCACGTAGGTTTAATCGTCTTACGGATGTTGTTCGATCGAGTCTTGGGAACATTCAGAAAGCAATCAAGGTGAGAAACATCTTCGCTTCTGAAACAAAGTGAGCCGAAACTACTCTTTCGCCTTGCTCCAATTTAGGAATTCTTTGTGATGATATCAAACACGTTATTTTGCACGAGGGCACACGTATCAGCTAAAATATTTCTAAAAGATTGCTGAAATAAAGGAAAGCCCCCTTAAGTGGAGAAAATAAGCTCGGATAGGGTCCCAATATCTGCTGTGGGAAGCAAACAGTTTCTAATACCCACGGTCAAATATGCGAGCCAATTTCAAGCGAAATGAGGCTTTAGTGTTCATTGTCTTTCAAATATTTTTGCAGTGTTGGGACAACAGCTTGGCGTCAAAAACTGTTACTGCGGAAGATGTTTACTTTTAAGCGTTCTTTTGTGCGACTATACGAACATATGTGTCTTCAGTAATTACAGTAAAACCCTCTTCCGTCTCGAATTGAAATTCAAACGAAGATTATATTGTATTATGTATTAGATATGAGGACTAAAAATCCGGAATGTCACTTGAGCAACATCATCGCATATACCCCATTTTAGATGGGGTATATTGGGTCACGGGAAGCGTTCATACCATCCGCTACAAGCGAAAACATTTCATGGATTATGTGAAGAAATGTTTTGAACAAATATTCGTCAAATAATACTACTATTTCTTGATTTCTATTTCTGTAACACAAGCTTCTCGGAGTAAAGCAACTCATTTAAATTGAACAGTTGTCCAAGGCTTTGAAACATCTAGCACTATTTATTCATGTCCTGAAAATTCATCAGTAAATTTTGACTCTTTAATAATGGATGAAAAAGTATATTTTCCTACTGCAACCAATAACAGGATAACCCAAGTGATGTCTAAAGGCAACGTACTAAGTAGAAGAGTACTGCACTCCTTTGTGAAATGAAACCGCTAGAAAAACACAGTTGGCTTCGTATTGATGTCCGCTGCGTCGCATTTATATTTTTTGAAAATTTAATAGTGCGGTTCATTCTGACCTTTGTTCTCAGGGTCTTGTGGTGTTGTCTTCAGAGCTGGAGGACGTATTTGGGAGTATGATGGTGGGCAAGGTAAGATTATTAAAACTCTTGAACAAAAGCTCATCTTTCAAACCGGCAGTCTAAATCCCACAGGTATCAACGAACGCTTTTCATTCCACTAATTTATTCGTGTTTTTCTCGTTGCCATGTTCTCACCAATCACGTAGCTCTTTTTCTGCCTTTAAAAGCACACACAACCCACAATTCCTCTATTCGCTCCGACGAAGGGCTAACGCTCGAAACGTCAGCTTTTATAACCGTAACGGTGGCCAATTCACCATTTCAACTTTGTTCATATATTCAAATTATTTCGTTACCCCCACCGACGCAGCGCCAAACTACTATCAGCCTTTATTCATAAGATTATGAAACACTTCCGACAGCGCCTTTAGGTTCCACCTGACTTTCGTTCCACATTAAGGCTGTTAAACAACGAACTTTCATTGTACCTAAGTAAGAACAGCATGGTTTTTATAGTATTGTAATTTCTTGTAAAATAGCCGTATTCATTTGCTAACTAGTTTTCGAGACCTGGAAAAGTATTTGAAAATATTGCAAACGTACCGAAAGTGGATAATCGTTGAAAGAATTCTTAGAGCGGGCATTAGAACTGGAGAAATGTGTGACTTGCAAGTTAAATTTCAGGGAGAGCTTTGTATAGGGGAAATTTGGGACTCCTCTTCACCCCAACCCACTCTCCCTGAGATTGCCATTGTACTTAAACACTCTCCCGTTGGTACCGTGTTGCAGTATTGCATCATGGGTTGCTGGAAAAGTAAACAAATTTATGCGGAAATTCTTTAATCGGTTTGTTTTGAAAAGTTTGCACAAACACCAGGGAGTGTTCGGATTGGCCTCGAACAAATTGACGATTTTTAACTGGAGGTTCTTCCCCACTTATCGTACTCCACGAACGCAATAACGTCCGTCCTGTCGCACACGACGTTTATCAGGTTAAGCAGAGGGATTCTTTCAGTTTTCCATGTTTTATTTGCTAATAGCACCGTTGATTCCTTCTTGTTTCTAGGTCCCCAACATGTGGGCGGCCAAGTCTTACCCTTCTCTGAAGCCGTTAGGTAGTTATGTAGCAGATCTCGTTGCGCGCCTCAGGTTTTTCAAAGTAAGTTTCTCAGTGCTGTTTTACTGTTTGTTGTGTTGTGTTTCGTACCGTTAGGGAGGAGTTGTGGATCACACTTTAACGTTTGGTGTTGTTGTTTATCCAGGACTGGATTGACGAAGGTTCTCCAAATGTGTTTTGGATCTCTGGATTTTACTTTACCCAGTCCTTCCTTACAGGTTAGTGCGCGTAGGATTTGGAACAAACCCGTGAATGACGGCTGAAATCAAAACAAGGAAATAGGCACTCCTTTAAAAGTAACGGACGCTTGTCGGTGGACTGAGTCGGACTACACGCGACTCGAAGTCAGATTTAACGAGTCACTAATCGGCTAGCTTTCGATGACCAAACCAAGGAATATGTTCCTTATCGGCCACGTCTTGTCTTCTATGACAAGAATCGAACAACGGAACCTTTTTCCGCTGAATTTGTATATTTTAAGCATATGATCAAGAGTAGGGTAAAATACACACCATCCTTAAACTGACTGCTAACCGCCTGCAAATTTCAACAAAACATTCTTACCGCAAATAATTGTAATAAATGAATGCTAATTCAGAGTGAAGAGAGTTGCGATTGGAAAGCCATAGTGTAATGATCGGTCTATTTACTCAGACTAGGATGTGACGCGAAAACTACAATTACTCTAAAGTATTTGGTTAAACAATGATCATGTTAAAAGGCAAACTGATCAAGATGTTAGTAAAATCTTTAATATTTTGTATGGATGGCTCCGCACACCAGTTTCTTTTGATTGTAACTTATAACGATCTTCATTACACTGCTATCTTACTATCCGTTGTGTAAAGGACTTGCAAGTGTCACATGGTAACCCCACCCACCCCTGTAACATTTTGATCGCTGTCCACCATTTGCAGATTCCTTATTTTTGTCTTGACTAAAAGCAGATACAGTAAACGAAGAGTGTTTGACTTGAAGTACGCTGAAATGTTTGATATCAATGTCTGGATATTTTCAGGTGCAATGCAGAATTTTGCCCGACGTTATAAAATTCCCATTGATCACCTGGGCTTTGAATTCGAAGTGATGGATGAAGAACAGGATATGAAGAAGAAACCGGTGAGTTGATGGATTTGTTTGCCTCACGTCCTGAAGTACAGCTTTTTTCTAAGAGACTAGTCATTACTGCGAAGGATTTTGGGGCGGGTTATATGGTTTTCAGGGGGATCGGAAGAGGGAACAGTCGTCGCCGACAGACTATAAAGGGGGACAACAGAAAATTGACTGCCAATGTGTGGGTGGGGGGATGGGGGTGGAGAAACATAAGCATATGGGGGGATCCGGCAATTTTATCGTGACTCGACCAGAATCCCCCCCCCCTTTTTTCAGGCGAGAAATAATGACTAGTCCCTAAATTAAGCGAAACTCATTTTTGCTCCTGTTGAGTGAATTTTTTTGCTTTTTTGATTCAGCTCATGTTCTTCTTTAATGCGTTGCATTATTCTTAGTTTGCTAAAATAACGCAACTTTTGACGTACTGTTTGTGTTTGTCTGTTTACAGGAAGATGGCGTGTATGTTAAAGGCCTGTTTATGGAGGGCGCCAGATGGGACAGAGTAAATAAGGTTCGATTCTTTTGTGTGCTATCTATTCCCTCCTGGTGTGTGTGGCATTTATAGACAGTACGAGGAGTTTGTTATTATATCGCTGGCAGTGCCCCGTGGGCAACATAAAGCGAATCTTGAGTTCTGATTGGCCACCCGAGCGGTTAAGATGGACCCATCTTGCCTGCACGGGATCACCTTCCTAGATCCCGTGCTAGAAAAACATTATGTGGAGTGGGAGTGGAATCACAAAGTTTGTGATTTTTGGACAAAGTCGGCGGTGGAGTCACTAAAAAATGGGAGAAGACAGTCTAAACAAAGAAATAAACACCTCTCGTGATTTAATTGTACTGCTAAACAGTTGGCTTTCTTCCCTGGCTTTCGAAATAAACCAGTCATTCTTGATTCTTAATAAGGCGAAATCCTTTGGCTGAATGAAAAATCCTTTATTGACCAACGATGTTCGGTCAAGATGGTGGTTACTATTAATTTTTTTTTTTCGTTTTGATGGACGTCGCCAATATCCAGCCATCTTGATCTCACGCTTAGTCAACAACGAGTATTTATACTATACCACACCATCTTAGGAAAATAATGCAGAAATAGAAACAGTAATATTAAAGAGGGCCGCCCTTGAGATTGCAACAGAGTTTTTCTTACAATGATGACTTTAATGTTGCTGTTGGACTGAAGCTCTACTTGTTTCACCTAGGTTGTTGGAGAATCTCTACCAAAGATACTGTACGATACTGTTCCAATTGTATCCTTCGACAAAAAATTAGTAAAATACGCAGGATTACTTGCGGTAGAAGTGTTAGCCAAACGGTTAGCGCGCTGAGTTGCGGGCCGACACGTACGGGTTCGAGAGCTGGCCATTTTAATTTTTTGTGATCGTGGGCAAGACCATTGGATCCCCCCCCCTCCCCCCTCGTGCGCTGTCATAGAAGCTAACAAAATGCTAGGGGACAGAGCTGTGATGTACCACTTACGAAGTCAATTTGAGTTCGGGACGCTTGGCTCAAGTGATCAATTGTTCTACCTTAAAAAGACTTCTTCGTGTCAATCTCCTTTGTTTACTGTCAACTTTGTCAGGAAAGGTGAGATCGAATGTTGAAACAGTAAAACAGAAGAAGGAGTACTCTTGGACCATCTTGGCCGATGTTTATCAATTGGTTACTTACAAATTCAAATTCCGGTCGCCTTCAATAGAGGTAACACATACCCATGGTATCCTCACAAAAATGCCACTCGAATTTGGTTGTCCCAATAAGCGTACTTTGTGTGGATGGTAGATGCTCTTTTACCAAAATTTCTTACTTTTATACTAATAATTGACCACGAATATTCTCTACTTCTGCACAAGTACTCTCTTTTAACAGTTGAAACTCAAAGTTCCAAGAAAGAGGTGCAAAAAATTCAAACAACAACAAAAGTAAGCTTCCTTGACAAGAGAATAGATATGGCTCAAGCCGGGGGAAACAGCAGATTTTCGAGACGAAGGAACGTATTCATGTCCAGGTATATCCATGCTGCGATAATTCTCAAGTACAGTAGTTACGTGGAAAATATGTAGTTAATAGATATTGTGCCAGCAACGTTTAACATTGCATTCGGCTCAGTGATACCCGTTAGAGCAATTTCCATTTTAGTGTCGAAGGTGATCTGGGATTGCTCTGTTTTTGCAGTTTATGAATCAAAACATGGCTCCTGAAGCTTTGTAAAGCCATGCTGCAGGATTCGCCGAAAACTCGATTGAAATATTTACCACACACTAGTTGTCACAACAAGCTATTAATACGCTGTTTATTTGTTATTTTAGTTTACAAAACAAGTGCTCGCCGAGGTGTACTTTCCACGACCGGTCACTCGACAAATTACGTCCTGTCGATCAACCTACCTTCCAAGAGAGCAGAGAATCACTGGGTTGTACGAGGAGTCGCCATGCTTTGTCAGTTGGACGATTAGATGAACAAGTCCGAGTAAAAGGTCTTTGAGTGTTATGAAGTTGGTGGAACAGATTACCAATGGGTTAGGCATGCGAAAGACTGATCAAACCACTTTTAAGTTTTCTTTTGTAGTAGACCTCTTAAGAAAGCTGTTTCATAAGAATCATTACTTTTTCTTGAAAAAAAAAAAGGGGGGCCTAATAAATACCCTAGGACCCCTTCCACACCCTTTCACCCTCAGGTTCGCCCTTGTATATGACAAAACTTATTGATCCACACATGCTTTTGATATTTATATTGTGATACCTACCAATTGAATTTGTTCGTGCGGGACGCGGGTTAATCTGCGTCCGTTACGCTCGACCGGGCATTTTCCCGCCTTTTAGAAAGATTTTCAGTGCCTGACGTTTACGTCTGTTTTCAGCTCTTCGTACACCGAAATGGCACTATTTGAATTTGCAACGAAAAATAATTTTTTCTAATCTTTCTTCATCGTTGATCTAAGAATCAGAAGGGTATTGAGTATAATTTGGCTTCGTTTGCCCCTTTTGGCGTTGTCGATCTATCCATTCATTTTAAAAACTTATTCTACCTTAAAAACTCGCGTATATATCAGTTTTGAAAGGTAATGAGAATTTTTACTAACGATTTTAGTGTATGACTAAGTTTGGAATACAGAAACCTCCAGAAATTTCCTTATTGCATGTTAAGTCAGCAAATAAGAGAACTTATTTATCACTTGAAGAGTTTTTATCGCCTAAAGATGATAGTTAATAGCATTTAGAGCAATGAACATAGCGAATTATTTTACGATTTTTCTTCACAAAAATAATTTATTACATAGAGGCATGTATATATCTATGACTCAAAATTAATTTAATGATGAACGCAATATGTGATTAGTATATGAATAAATTATAGTCAAGTGTTTTAGAATGTTCGTCAGTAGTAGTTCTTCCTGTTTTATTAAAATATTGAAGATCATTTCAAATGAAGTGTGGTGTAATTGTTTGATGTATAATACAGCTGATCTAAACCGAGACAAGCAAGTTTCATTCCTAAACAGTTTCGACGATTTTTCATTTTAGAACGTGTTTCGATGTTTCAGACAGGACATTACTGTCCATTAATGGTTTCGAGAGTCGCTATTTGACAGCTGATGGAAGAGATTTTCCAGTTTCACGGACAAGCGTGGGCGAAGCCACGCATGTGTAGTAAACACAATTAGACGGAATTAGACGATATTGCGTATGACAAGATCATCACTCATCGGCAGTGACGTCGGCAGTTATTTTTAGGTCACGTGGTGGGCTGGAAAGAATAAAACACATCAACAGACAATGTGATTGACTTTCCTGGGTTCCTGTTTGAGCTTGTTTTCTGAGCAGCATTTGGTTACTAATTCCATTCTTTCTCCAACCTTCTCCAGTATCACAGCTTTTCCTCATTTCTAAGAAAATTAAAGTTACACTGGATAAACTGAAGAATTTTTCCTTTAACCCTTTAACACCTGAGAATGACTGGCTCCGAATTCCCCCCTACGGTACCACCTCTGTATTTGATAAAAATGTCGTGAATAAGGAAAATGATCATCAATTTTTAGATGAAGTTCCCGATTGTTTAACAGATGCTCCTTGCCTGTACCATAGAAAATGAAGAGAACAGTGGGGAGACTGTCTACCAATGTTAGGATGTCAAGAATAATCTAATTAAGCACAGACAGACGTCGAGGCGATCGACTGTTGTTATTGCGGTAAAATTAGCCAATCATGTTGTTCTCTTGTCTTAACTTGCCGTCTGTCCTCATGGATCAAACAAACGTCTCATTAATTACTGAAATAACTCTTAGATCATTTAATATTCACAACTACTTAAATCGCACGGGCACTCAAAAATTCTTCATAGAGGAAAACAAAATTGATTGGCGGGGGATCTGCCCATTTTGTTTGTATGGAAGAGTATCTGTCCAGTCGCGTCCACTCATCTTCTCTGTTTCCCTTGGGACCCTTAAGGTCATTCAAGACAAAAACAATTTTCCCATTTTCGCGATCAATCGTATTAAGACATCAGTTTCATGAATTAGCGAGCTAATTAGTTCTAATTAACCAAATGACTTTACCTGTTTTCCGTCATTGAAATCATTGGCATGAACCGAAACATACTAAGCAACCCGAGCTGACGTATACAACAACGGTAAAAGTAACGGTATGTTCACCGGTATGGGTTTTGGATTTTATCCTTTTTATCTTTCTAATCTCTTAGTGTCTGTTTCCTTTTCAAATTTATAATAGTTTAAAGAACAACCGATTATTATCCGGTTCACGCGCATTGAAAATGAGCAGAGAAACACCGATGTCATTTTGCATTCTCCATTTTTTTAAATTCCGGTAAACTTTAAAACGGACAACTGCCAAGTCACCTTAATTACTGAACATCTTAATTTACGGATAAAAGTGGGTAAATTCAAGAACGAACAGTGACAGTAAATACGTTTGAACGGCCTCGAGCAAATCTTTTGACTTCACAGCAACCAGAGAGTATATACCGAAAAAATTGAGTTTCGTTCAACCATCGCCTCAGAGAAGGTATAATAATACTTGATTCTGGTAGAGAAAGATCTCATCAGTGTCAGGTAGTTCGTTGGATTGAATTGTGGCATACTTTTCAAAGTACAAAGCTTTTTTTGCCATGCGTTCTTTATTTCAGCATCGAAACGAGTGAGATAGACATTCGGTGACGTTTCCAATGGACAAACTATTGCGATAAAAACTTGATGGAGACTTCACAACTAAGTAAGAAGATGCGAAGCGTATGACAAGGTGATAATAAGAAATGTCACGTGACTGCTGACGTCAGCATTTTTGTTCTATGCTACTAGTAATATCAAGTAGGTCAATGTCACGCGCTTGTTTTATTACAATTATAAAATCATTACGCTTACCTGACTAAATCGGTCTTCTTTGTATGTTGATAAGGAGGTCTTTCTCCACCAGAACCAAGTGTCAGACCTTTAGTGGAAGAGTAACAAATTAACATAACAATATATTGTCAAAGAATTACATTATAATCCACTGAAAAGGCCATAAATCATAACCTGGTAAGCTCTTCCGTGTTACTGAAGCGCCATGACAAGAATGGTTGAACGACAATCATTTTTTCCGGTATCTTCCCCTGACTACAGCAACCTGAAAATTCAGTCGTAGATCGTGTCATTTTACTTTCTTTTTTGTACGATTTAAACGACTCAACAAAATGTGAAGTGATAAATGAACGAGTGTGATTATTTATGAGTATCATACCCTATATATTTGAACCGCGGATAAGTACGATGTAAAGGTATATGTATTTTGCTGCAGCCAGTCACTTAATTGGGCTTACTTTCTATGGAATTTGTCTGTCAAAGCACTCGTACACTTTTTGGTTTACTTAAAAACTTATTTAATTGTACAAATCATAGCAAACCATTCGACCTGTTCCGTCGGAAAAATCTAAAACGGATTATCTACCACATTAAAAGCAGCCAATTGTGACCTAGATGTCAAAAGAACAGCAGATTTTTCCAGGCAGTCAAACTGAGAAACATTTTTTTTAACTTTCGCGTTCCTTGACATGGAAGGCCTAAAGCCGCGGAGCAGACGAAAAACGTCAACCTTTAAAATGACAGGAAGGGATAGTCCTAGCATTAAAGGTCTAACCAATAGCCAATTTGCAGACATTTTTGCTGCATCAAAGCATCGACATGCTTAGCGAGAGGTGCAAGTCCCAACAAGCAAATAGGTGGTTTGCAACCAATCTCTAGAGACACAGGTAACAATGGTGAAAGGAACAAATGCTGGTGGACGAACAAAAAAAGCTAATGAGATATGCCTAATTTACGTCCACCAACATGGCGGCAATGACGTAAGGTGGAAACCACCTACAGGGACCTTAAGCAGTCAGAACACCAAGGAAGATGTCGGTTAAAAAATGCTACTTTTAATTAGAATTTCGAGAATGGCTGCATGTCTCTTGCGGCGCCACACCTTAGCCGAACGTATAAAAGCCAGCAGCGTTGAGTTTCAAATGGAAATTAAAATAATTTGCCGTCGCGGTTTCCGTTCGCAGCCGACGCAAATTTTGGTGATTTCACGTTGTTATTTTGCAAAGGACGGCTAAGAAATGTACAAAGTTTTGAAACACACGTGCTGAGCCGTTGTTCTGCCCATTAGATCTATTGTTTTGCCACCTCCTCGTTGCTGTCGCCGTCGGTCCAGTTGAAATTTGAAGTAATTGACGGGCCTGCACGACTCCTGCCATTCTCAAGCAATTTTAAACCTCTGACTTCAGAGATTAATTCCGACCCGCATATAAGGACTTTCCTTTGCAATGTGATTAATTGAGTTGGTTTTGTGGTTTTGAATCAGGTGCCATTTCCCTATCAGTATTTACTTAGGGTTAGGTGAAGCCTAATTTAATCCTTCAGCAAATCGCAAGCAGACCTCGGGCACCACCAACAACCTGGTCTCTCTGTGCAGTGCAGATGGAAAGTCGGTGATTTCAATATATATTTTAAATAAGCCTGGGCCGAGTTTTTGTGCTAATCTTTGTATTATCCCAGGCAATTTCTCGCACAATTCCATGATCCCTCGTTCAAAAATGATCACGGAATATCTTTTGTAAGAAATCCATCTGGATATTGTTCAATCTTACCCTCTTCCCTGTCAAAAAAATAAAGGACAACTACAGCGAAACAAAAGGAAACATCATCCAAATCAGAAGTTTTCTGTTCTGTTTTGTATTACAAAAATTGGTGGGGGAAACTGTGTCTATCACGGTGATAAAAACTAATTCTTTCCTTACTCTTTTGGAGACAAGAGAAGTAAATTACTCAGGCATCTCCCCTGGGGATATTTTGACGCACGTGCTTTTCAAACGCTGCCATTTTGAATGGCAACTGCTTCTGATCAATGCGACATAAAAGTCAGTATTTCATGTGGTGACATACGGCCCGTTGTTCATTTTTATTGAAGGGCGATTCAACAACGTTATGGCTGATTATCTGATAGCTGGCGGTACAGGTTATGTGCCTCAAGACGGAATGACTGCCATGCAATTATTTAGTAGTGGCGAAGGTTTAACCTACAAGTAAGTAAAATAAATCAAATTTTCTATTCCGTATTTTGTAGGGGAAAACTTTTCTTCTTCTCTTGTTATTGTGCCATATGCAAGGTTTCAGCTGCTCTACTTTTTTGCAATATGTAAAGGAAAGTATTGCAGTTAGCGTTACGTGACAACGAATTTTTACTACGCCATGCTTTCAAAACAAAATTGTAGGAACATCCACGCGGAAGGGTGATCAAACCGTATTTTATGTCGCCTAGCCTTCGTGTCAGCATAGTCTGAATTTTTCATGCAGAGATAGTGCTACTGTACTTAATTACATTTTCTTCAGTGGAAAATTTTCCGAGGCTTCGTAATCAGAATTTTCTTAATCCTTTCACAATTTCACCCCGGGGAAATCTTTTGATTTGAAACCGATTGCTCATCGAAGGCAATGGCATACATGAAAACTTAACTCTCTCTTTTAAATTTCATATATTTTTATTATCAGTTTTTATAAAACTGCTAATATTTAAATGATGTTTTGATACCCTACTTTGAGACGTTTAGTGTAATAAATATCGCTCTCCTGGTTACAAATGTAGTAACTATGAAGTTATCCTTCATGCTATTTGAGGTCGATGTTTCGGTCGATTGTTCAGTCAAGATTCGTTTCCAAGAGCATTGTGATAAATCACCGCAAAATCTGATTTTTGTATTCTGGATAAAAATTCGCATATTGTTCCGGTGTCAAGGGCTCAAGTTTCTTTTTTGAATTTCGTGATTTTAGAGAAAATTTATGAATATTTTTTATTTGGAAGCAAATATTTAATTATACTGTGCTGGTGGTGTAATAACTGCTGAGTCATAGGAAAACGATGGGGAAAAGTTGTTTAGCATGTCAAAAACGCTTTTTTTGCCATGACTACGGTAAGTAAGTTAGGTCTCTGAAAATCTCGGTCTTGGCTTAACAAATATTTTTGGAAAACAACATGAAATTTTCTCGTTTTCATTTTCACGCCAGCTGAAGTCAGATTTGTTCCTGTTAATTGGCAATTCAAAATATTCTTTAAGTAATGATAATAATAAAAGCAGAAGGGCCCTTATTTCATCACAGTATGAGTTTCGAAAACATTTCACATCTGGTCAGGTTGTTAAAAAGTTTGCTAGTAGAAGGCACAAGGGAAACCCTATCAAAGAAACCCAGATCAACACAGAAGAATTCTCCAGACTGTTGCATAACCAACTTGTCAAACAACTATGAGGGGTTATCTCCACCAATATCCTGTTTCAAATTCTGTTCTAAAAAACCTGTATGCTATTGCTTTTTATCAAATTCTTTTCAGAATAGAAATTGGTGAAACAGAATAGAAATTGGCGAAACAGAATAGAAATTGGCGAAACAGAATAGAAATTGGTGAAACAGAATAGAAATTGGTGAAACAGAAGAGAAATTGGTGAAACAGAATAGAAATTGGTGATGTCTCTATTTCTATTCTGTTTTTCTGACGAACCGAGGGGAACATGAGTAAGAGCCAGTTAAACATTATAATTTATTCTCCCGATTCCCACTCAAAGAAAATTTATTCTTGCCTGATGACCAGTCTGTTTACTGACCGTAAATTAACTATGTAATATCGAGAATCCGCTGACAGTTGCAAAATTTTGTAATTCGTTTTATTTTTTCTAAAGGACCCTTTTAATGAACCTTTTTCGAAAATTATATCAAAAAGTGCTATGCGCCTTTTTTTCTCCGAAAAAGCGAAAAGTTCAAAATCTGCCTAAATGGCCATTGTCCTCCCCGTAAAGCAATGAAAAATGATACAACTTTGGCAACTTCGTACGTTACAACATGATGCAAGCCAGCTTTTAATTTTTGTGTTCTAGCAGATGATCCTTTTATCTCTTAGGAAATATTAATTTCTTGTTATTTTGTGACGTTCAAGTCTGAATAGTGACCCGTTGAAGTAAAGTACGTTGAATGGCTGTCACGCAAGAGGTCAAAGCCAATCTTTCAACTTGGCCAGGAATGTACCAAATACATAACCTCTTGCGTGACAGCCGTTCAACGTACTTTATTTCAACGGGTCACTATTCAGACTTGAACATAATAATATTTGAAGACCTTGAAATTTCTATTGAAAGTAGCAGTCAAGTGTAAATCCCTGGCATTGCATGGAGATGTAAAACTCGAAACAAGTTAATTAAAGTTCTGAAAAAAAAAAAATCGATAAAAAATAAGTCAATTTGCATTGACACAGGACCTCTCAGTGGGGTTTTGGCAGTCAAGGAGTTAAGAACTTGTTTTTATTTTGGATGGTAATAGAAGTATTTCTGTAAGCTGATTTTATCTGCAAGTAATCTTGACATCAAAAGCTCCTAAGATGTGTTGAAAAAATTTCTTTAATTTAAACATTTTGTTAATCTTTATATTTTTTTTTCTGGCAACTTAAATTTTATTTCTGAAGACACTTCCATGATTTTTGGTCGTCAAATGGCAAACATAAAAGGTTATTATCATTGATGTGTTAAATGTTTCTATACTGTAGCCCAAAGCTTTTAAATTTGTTTCTTATTTGTAAAAAATGTAATAATGAAGTGTAACCCCGTTTTTTTTTCCTTTTTTCATCAGTGACTTCATAATTCTTCCAGGCTTTATTGACTTTTGTGCTGATGAAGTGGTAAGAAGCACTGGTAGCTGCTTGTGCTTTGTGTGCAATAATTTTTGATTCAGTTTATAACATTCATCAGTAGTTAATGAAGTGAAAAGGTTGAAGATGTCTTGAAGTCCAGTGTTGTAACAATGAAGAATTGAGTCTGTATTATGGGGTAAAATAAGGTTTTACTCTTTTTGTATCATTTATCATGCAATGAAGTGAAGTAAGAACTGCAATAGAAGCCTCTGTTTTGAGTTGTGAACAATTTAACAATATGAGGTTTCACTTGGGTGACTGTAGTTTTTAGCAGCTTAAAAATACCAACAAACAAACGTTTACAACTCATTGGTACTGGTTCATCTTGCAGGACTTGACTTCTGCTTTGAGTAAAAAGATTACTTTAAAGACACCACTTGTCAGTTCTCCAATGGATACTGTCACAGGTTTGATTTGTGAATTATTCATTTGATATCTCACTTGTGCAGGGTAACACATGTCACCAAAAACCTGTATTTTAAGTGTAGATTGCATGCATCTACATACTTTTTTTTTTGAGCTGAAAGAGCTAAATGTTTCAATTAACACTGTGTTCAGACTTCTTTGCTATTTAGTGTTGGCTTGAAAGTAAACTTTACCCAAAGATTCTTCTTTTTTATTGAGCAGAGGTATTCATTGAAGAGTTTGAGCAATAGAGGTTACTCTAAACCTTGGCGGGGGCTACTTTTGCTTTTAAAAACTTATTTTCAGCCAAATTTAAGTTAATAACTGAAACTTCCATTTTCCGAAAAAAAAAAAAAAAGGTTTCAATCTTTAAAATTGTGCGAGTTATTACTTAAAGAAAGCTGTATTTTCTTTAAAAAAAAGTTAATAAATTATCAAATCATCCTATCTGTGTAAGGCATAAACTCCCTGGCAGAGTTATTTTTTGGCAGGTTGTTGGATAGTTTGTCATATCTTTGTATAATCACTTTGTATTTTGCATATTTCTTCAGAATCATCCATGGCAATAGCAATGGCCGTGAGTATGTTGTGTGTTGTGAATGGTTTAGATAAATTTAGGAGAACTTCCTAGAAAACCAGTTGTGGGATTATGAATGGATTGACTTCCATAGTTTTCTCTTTTTGCAAACAAACACCCATCTCAACATTGGTACCAGAACCTTTTTTTTTTACCTGTCTGACTCCTTATGGTAATCACTTTTTTTTAAATTTTATTTTGTTTCAAAGTGGACCATATATGGTTTCTTCTCTGCATATGAGATACTTCTACCTCCTCTCATTGGAAAGAAACTTGTTGCTTGCAAACTTGTTTCTGGTCTTTGGAAACTCCTTTTTTTTCATTTTCTTGGGGGGAGGGGCTTTTTTGTTTTATTACAGCTAATTATGCTGCATTTTGGGTTATAAATAAAGGTCATTGTAAAGTAAAACTTCATCCTTAATATAAGTAAGTATCTTAAGTTTAATTATCCACATGATTGATCAGGAAGTAGTGTATCTTTGAAAGGAACCATATCATTCTGTTTTTCAGCTGAATGGTGGAATTGGGATAATCCATCATAATTGTTCGGCAGAGTTTCAAGCAAATGAAGTCAGGAAAGTCAAGAAGTTTGAGCAGGGTTTTATCCTGGATCCATTAGTTCTTAGTCCTGAAAACTGTGTTGGTGATGTCCTGGCAGCAAAGGCCAAACATGGCTTTTCTGGGATACCCATAACAGGTAATTTAGTCCCTAGTCTTGTAGAAGCATCCAAAGATAGTTTTCAACAAGTGACTTACAATTTGTTAATTGTAGGAAGGACATCAGCATTTTGTGTTTTATCGGGGAAGAGCCACTACAGTATCTACATGTAACACCACCTACTTAAAGTCCCTATTCACCCCCAGAGGTTTAGATATATTTCGATTCTTTGCCGCCTCAGTTATTCTTTTGGTCATGCCCTTTTGACTTGGCCGGGAGAGAATTACTGGGCTGAGTCTCAAACCTACCACCTCTCCAACATTCAGTGATGTCACAGCAAGAACGAATGTTGACTTCTTGTATAAGAACATGTGTCTATAGCTTTAAAATGATGTGAAATTGCTGACTCGTTGCGTGGTCGCTGGTTGCTCAAATACACCAGATTCGTCTAAAGACATATTCCTCCATAAAATAATGTGAATGTAGTCACATTGATCGAAAGACGTTCTGGCTGTGACGTCATGAGGGACGTTTAGTTACCAGTATTAACTTCGCCCAGCCAAATCAAAAGGGCGTGGCCAAAGGATGAACTTTAAGGCAGCGGGGTATATTTAATCAATCTAAAAAAAATTTTTTTTTTTTGAGATTAATCCCAATAGCGCAAAGAATGGAAATATATATAAGCCTCAGGGGGTGAATAGGAACTTTAAGAATTTTACTAGTACCAAAGAGGTTGACTGTGAAACTGAAACTACAATTACAGTGTATTTAAATACAATCATGTAATTGACATGTATTTTGCTTCATTTGGCAATGTCAAATGTATAGAATTAATTGCTTGCATTCAGCCTCTAGGGGCACAATGTTCTTCTATCACTCCCTTTGACTCATAGGAGGAACTCCAAAGGAATTTCTTCTGACTGAAGATCTGAATGTAAATTCTCTTCACTGCTTTCTGTGCAATTCTGATAAACTTAGCTTTGAGAGTTTGGATTCAAATCGGACAATAACCCCTTCCCCTCCCCATCTGTTTTTTTTTTTTGTTTTTTTTTGCCCTTCTCATTACCCTTTTGCTGGAAAATACATCAATGTTGTAATGAGAACTTCGTTTTTGTCACTGCTGGGAGTAAAAGGGTTACATCTCTCTTATCTAAGACAAGAATTTACACAATAAAGTGTTATTGTAATTGGAAGTATGTTTTGACTACATTTCTTTAAGAACACATCCTTTGCAATTCCATTGTAAATTTACTGTAAGCAGAGCATTAATGAATTTCCATTATCATTCATTGTAGAAAATGGTCAGATGGGTGGAGTTTTGGTTGGCATTGTTACCTCCAGAGACATTGATTTTGCTCATGAACCTGACATGTCAAGACCCATCAAGGAGGTGAGTCTAATGTCAAGTTCATGAAGAACTTTGCATCAGATCAGTAACAGCAGTAGAAAGAGCAGTGGAAACTGCAACAATAACTGGGTGACTTGTGTCAAAGGTGTTGTTGGCTACAATTTCAGTTACAAATGGTCACTTGCTTGGTGCATGTTTTTTTTCTTGACTGTTAATTACATTTTGATTAAGGGGCAGATAGCACTATTCAACAAAGAAATTGTTATCCAGGGAGAAGTGATCACAAAACACTGTACTATCCACTGGATAAAGATTAATCTAGTGGATAATGTCATACAACCTCTGAACAACCAGGACCAGGACTATTGCTCAGAGTAGAACATAATTTGAAACCCATGTTTAGGTTCTCAAATAGGATTGGTTGAACCCTTGAACTCCCAAGAACTGATTATAAATTCTCCCCTCTAGTTGCTACACATTTCCTTGTACATTGGTTTTGAGAATTTGGTGTTCAATCAAGGTAACAACTTGTACCTGATAAGTTTGAGTATTCTCATTACCTGTTTGTTGGATCATGTATGGATATTGTAGGGAGAAGTTACAGGTTAATCACTTGTGGGAGTTAAAGGGTTAACAAACGGTTCTATATTGCGGTGCATCTGTTTAGTAATGCATCACAGAAGATGTCAAAATGTGGTAAGTGGCACACAAGGTGCAGCTGAGTGAGTCACTAATGTCACTAAAGTGATCTAATCATCTGTCCTCCAATAGGTCATCGGCAAGACCCAGTCAAAATACTGGTACACGAATAGTTCAGCTTAACTTGTAATTTCATTTCTCTTTCTCATAAATTTGAAGGTGATGACTCATCTGGAGGAGCTGGTCGTTGCTAAGGATGGTGTGACACTTCAGGAAGCCAATAGCATCTTACAAAGGAGCAAGAAAGGTTTTTTTTTTTTTTAAATTTTATTATTTTCATTTCAATTTGTGTACTCTGATTTTCTAAATAAATTTTGTAAGTCATTCTCTTACAATTTTTTATTTCAGATTTATTACTCTAATATGTCTCCTACAAATAAAGATACAAACGTCCATCATTTGTGTTTCAGGAAAACTTCCTATCGTTAATGAAAAGGGAGAGTTAATCTCATTGATTGCAAGGACAGATCTCAAGAAGAACAGGAATTTTCCTCTTGCTTCTAAAGATGCCAACAAACAGCTGTTAGGTATGAAAGGTATTACATTTTTATGCATGAAAAAACTCGGTGCCATCTAGGTTGGCTTTGATCCTTTCTCTCCCAGAAGTGATCAGCATTTAACTTCTCCCTAAAATATCCATATATTTTCTAGCAAACAGGTAATGAGAATCCTCTAAACTATTGGGTAGAAGTTGTTCTGAATCTTGATCCAAACACCAAATTCTTGTAGCAAATTTACCAGGAAATGTGTAGCAGATACAGTGAAGAGCTTACAATCACATCTTGGGAGTTCAAGGATTAATCTTGTTTTAGATTCTTGTTTTTGGGGTCTGTGGCCTCTATGTTGTTTGTCAGTACTTAAGAGATATCTAATGCTTTTTTCCTAAACAGTTGGTGCAGCTATTGGTACTCGAGATGAAGACAAGGAGAGGCTAGAAGCCTTGGTTCAGAGGGGGCTGGATGTGGTTGTTATTGATTCCTCTCAAGGAAACTCCATCTTCCAGCTGAATATGATCAAGTGAAGATAATCACAACTACATAATTAGCTCATAGATTTACTAAAACAAAAACATTCTGTCTGCACTGTTTTGCAAAACAGCCCTCAGTCTTTCTTTTCTGGGAAATTTTACACCAGATCTTCATGTAGTGGAGTGATGTCCTTTTCAGTAGGCCAGTAGCCAATAAAATTTACAACCTCTATTAACTTATTACTACCTGAAATCCATGGAGTTCTTGAAGACTCAACAGCTAGAGAGAATTGCTCCTTCAGTTTTGAAAATTTCTTTTACCTGTGTTGCCTAAGATAAGGAAGAACACTGTAGTGTATAATATCTTCAAATATATTTTTATTTTACCTTCATCAGATATATAAAGGAAAAGTATGCAGATCTCCAAGTAGTTGGTGGTAATGTTGTGACTGCAGCCCAAGCAAAGAACCTGATTGATGCTGGAGTGGATGGACTGAGAGTTGGTATGGGTAGTGGCTCTATATGTATTACACAGGAGGTCATGGCAGTTGGTAGACCACAAGGCACTGCAGTGTTTAAGGTGGCAGAGTACGCCCGCCGGTTTGGAGTCCCTGTGATTGCAGATGGTGGTATCCGAGATGTGGGGCATATTTCAAAGGCTCTTAGTTTGGGAGCTTCAACAGGTTGGATTACCATTTAAAGTTTTTTTTTCCAGTTATATCCCCTTTGAATACCTTTTGTGCCAAGGACTTTTTTCAATCTAATATCCTATCTCATAGGGCAGGTATATCTTTGTAGGTGTTAGATTTAGTGGCTTAAATGTGCCAGTAAGTTGACATTCTAGACTCAAACGTTGAAATTAAACAAAAACAGCATAAGACGGGCTCTTGTACTTTGGTCAAAGAGAAAAGACTCCTCCTAGATAATACAAATCTTTGTAGAAGATGGCAGGAAGCTGCTAGGGCATTAGGTTCCTATGAAGATTTAAGGAAAGGCAGTCACTTAATCATAGAGCCATTGTGTGAAGGGAAAGTGGCCAATAACACATTGTTAAACCAACAACACCACATGGATCTCAGTCTGCTACTCTGAAAAACAATTGCTGTGCTGTCAGTGCCAAGTAATGTCTGGTTGAACTTTTCAATTACAATTTATTTTACCTTAGTGAGATTATGGAGTAGTATTCACCCTAGCATTTGCACTCCCTCTGTAGAATTTCAAAATAAGGTGTTCTGTTTGTCTAGATTTGCAGTGAGATATTTTGTCAAATGAATTTGATTTACAGTTATGATGGGATCATTATTAGCTGGAACCACAGAAGCTCCAGGAGAATACTTCTTTGCTGATGGTGTTAGGCTTAAAAAGTACAGAGGTAAGAGTTAGTGTTATCTGTAGTGTGCAGAACAAACAGCTTAAGGTCATTGTTGTGTTCCAGACTTGCTTGTAATTGAAGAACAAAATGCACCAACAAGGTATGAATTAAATAACGAGAAAGACATTTTTGTCTTGATGTCTTGAACCTCTGTGCTGTCAATGTTATGGAGTACAATGTGAAAAAATTGAAACAAACAAGGCAAAAACAAGTGTATGAATAAAAACAGGCAAAGTTCAAGCACACATTTGGATTATTGTGCTCAGTTCTAAAAGATAAATCAAAGAAAGAAAACAGTCATGTAAAAGAT